GTCGGTCTACTCCGGGTGACCGTGAGTTTGACCATAAACGAAGGATGTTACGTAAGGAAATTGGGCAAAGCTTGCGTAAGGACCGAGAAGCCTGGTGGTCGGAGCTTGCCAATGAGCTGGAAGCAGCAGCTGCATCTGGTAACTACCGGAATCTCTTCCAGCTCATCCGAGCCACTGGCAGCAAGAAGTCTAGTGTGAGTGAAACAATCTGCGAGGATGATGGGATGCCAATCACTAACATCCATCGACGTCTTGGACGATGGGCAGAATTTTTCGAAGGGCAGTTCAACTGGCCTGCTGCTCCGGCAACATCGGTCAGACTGTCCTGCCCTCCATGGCCGGTGACGACTGATCCACCAAACGAGGAGGAAGTCCGCAAGGAACTCCAACTCTTGAAGCGTTACAAATCACCAGGCCCAGATGACTTACCTCCGGCTCTTTTTAAAGATGGTGGTGACTTTTTGACTAAGGAATTGACGACGTTGTTTACAAAGGTTTGGGAACTAGAGATTGTACCAACGTCATGGAATGAGTCGATAGTTGTCCCTATCTTTAAAAAGGGTTCACGTCGTTCCTGCAACAACTATCGGGGATAAGTCTACTTCCGATTGCGTCCAAGCTATTGGCTTCCGTCATACTTCGTAGGTTGTTCAAAACCCGAGAAAGATTGACTCGCGAGGAGCAGGCTGGGTTTCGTTCTGGTCGAGGATGTATTGATCATATCTTCACCCTCCGCCAAATGTTAGAACACCGCCATACTTATCAAAGGCCAACAATCGTAGTGTTTCTTGACATCAGGGCTGTCTTCGATTCGTTGGACAGGACTGTTCTCTGGGATTGTCTATTGAAGAAGGGTGTGCCTGAGAAGTTTATTAACATCCTAAGGGCCCTATATAAAAACACCTCAGGCAGAGTGAGGGCATACAACCACCTCTCTTCATTGTTCTATACGAGTAGTGGGGTTAGGCAGGGTTGCCCAATCTCACCATTCCTCTTCAACTTTGCCATCGATGACATTCTGGAAACAGCTCTGATGGATGTAAGTAATGGTGGTGTGGATCTGTTGCCTGGAGAAAGACTTCTCGACCTTGAGTATGTGGACGATATTGTCTTACTGTGCCATAATGCCCAAGGCATGCAATCCGCACTTAATCAGTTGGCAATCAGTGTCCGTAGGTATGATATGTGCTTTGCACCTTCAAAGTGCAAAGTACTTCTACAAGACTGGCAGGATTCCAATCATGTACTCACCCTGGATGGTGAGCAGATAGACGTAGTCGAGAAGTTTGTGTATCTGGGTAGCTGCATAAGTGCCGGTGGGGGTGTGAGTGATGAGATCAATGCACGTATAGTGAAAGCCAGAGCGGCTTATGCCAATCTGGGCCACCTTTGGCGCCTTCGTGATGTTAGTCTTGCTGTAAAAGGTCGGATCTACAACGCGTCGGTGAGAGCAGTTTTGCTCTATGCTTGTGAAACCTGGCCTCTCCGAGTTGAGGACGTTAGACGACTCTGTGTTCGATCATCGCTGTCTCCGAAGGATTGCTGACATTCAGTGGCAACACCATGTCAGTAATGCAGAGGTTCGGCATTGTGTGTTCGGGCACAGAGATGATAATTCAATTGGTGTCACCATCTTGAAAACACCGACTTCGTTGGCTTGGACATGTTCTACGAATGTCGTCCCAGAGAATTCCACGTCGTGCATTATTTGCCGACTCTGGGACTGGTTGGAAAAAGCGGAGAGGTGGTCAGTGCATGACATGGTGTCGTGGTATGAAAGAAAGCTGTAAAGGACTGGCTTGTGTTGGTCCTTCACGACTCCCTGGTTGGGGTCTGAGAGATGGTGCTACACAGTGGCTAGAGACGTTATCAGATATGGCTCAGAATAGAAGCCAGTGGCGATCCTGCTGTAACCTTCTTTTACTTTCTTCATAAAAAGTGGTTGTGTCTTCCTTACCTGAAAGATTTCTTCTGATTGTACCTTTCCGTTCCATCGTTACTACCACACTACCTTACACTAATCTCTTCGTTATCGTTCTCTTTTTCTTTTGCGCTCCTTAGTTTTTTTTTCTATCTCTTCGAATTTTCATTGTTTTGTGTGGCGCATATATATTGGCGTTCTCTTGTACTAATATTTATGTGTTCAAATAAATAAATAAATTGACTCGGCATGGTCATTTTATCACAATGTTTTTGAAATCGATAGATTGTGACTAGCAATAGAACCAAAAAAGGACATTACGTTCTGCCTGGGGACTTGTTATTAGGATTCACTTGTATCCTAGTGTTGTGACTTGAACCCAAGGTATTGAGCTGATGAGTCCCAAATAGAACGGAATATGCAAACTGGATTTCATGGTTTGCTACTGTTTATTCAATTTTAATTCTTAAAGAGATTCTTTTAATCAACAGTTTTCTCACAGAGCTAATTGGCCAGTGTATAACAGAAAAACAGGGACTATTGGACATTTGTTCCATAATATCTTGAGGTTGACAACTGCGAACGCAACCGAAAGAACATTAAATTTTAAAGGAATATAAGAGTTTTGCCACTGAATTAGATATCAACACTACAACTGATAATTCTTGAAACAAAGCGATTACTATCCTTTTTTATCTGTAAGAATTCCCCCCCCCTCCAAAACTGTGTTGACTTCGTATGTGACAGATTCTTAATGGAACATCAAAAACTTCATCTCGAAACAAATAACTAGTGAACACTATTTAACGTAGTGTCTTTGGAAAATTATTTAATCTGAAAATAATTTTCGTAATGGACTAATGTCGTATAATCATAAACTAGGGAAATATTTACACATTTTAGTGAAAGGCTATAACTTTAGAAATTAGACTAATTAAAAGAGAAGTGGGAGGTATCTAGTCACAACAGGATAATATTTACACTATATTATGAAATATTTTGATAATTTATCAATTTATAACTGAGCTTTTAGTTGTGAACTGAACAAGTTTGGATCGATAATGTAAATCAATATTTTTTTTCTTTTCATTCTTGCATTCTTATATATATATATATATATATATATATATATATATATATATAAACAGATACTGGATTACAGCTTGGTAAATAAAACAGTATTAAATTACCTAGATGAAGCTAGTTTTGCATATACCGATAATAATTTGATCAGTTGCTTGTGTATAAAAATGAACTCATATTCATAACGTCTCAACCTTACTCATTCAATAGCAACAACCAAAATATACTTGAAATACTGAATCCACCAAAAAATTCAGACGGTACAGTTCTCAACAATTTGATACGAGTCATAATTAAGTTAACGACATAAGAATTATTTATAAAGTAGTTCTGGAGTAAAACACAACTTGGTTTTAATTAAGCCGAGATATATTACAATATAACTAGTAATATGAGATATTTTTAAGGATCAATAAGTTTTTAAAGAATACCTGGAAATCTTCTGAATTCCCAGTAAACTATTAGAAATGTTTCAACATTACGTAGTGAACAACCTTTATAAAATGGTACAAAAGAGTATATAGAGAATACATTGCAAAGTGTTCCAGTATAAATCATTCTGTGAATGTCCTACAAATTCTGCTAGTGTGCACAATTTTTCAGTAGTGCAATTGAGTGCCATTTACTTAACAGTGGCTATGGTGTTGATACCTCAAAAATCTTCGAGATACTTCATAAACAAAGAAGGTCAGATTTAGTATGTTTTACTGAAGCAGTTACCGTAAGAAAACTAAAAACAAATATTTGCATCTAAAAAGACTCAGTTATCAATCTTGCTTTGCCATGATGACCTCATTGATAAATGTTTATCAATAGCTGAAATCATGAGTCGATCTATGCTAGACCACCACTGAAAACCTGGAAGCACTGGACATCCGTTTCGTCCTGGTATAGGACTCCTGATCAGTGTTTATTCACGACCCCACGCGTGGGAATCGAATCCAGAACCTTCGGTCTTACGCACGGACCCGCAACCCCCAGACAACAACAATTTCCATAACCCTATACTTAAAATTATCATGTGTTTACTAGTGACTAGTTTCGAGAGGAAATTACCGGAGCTCTATTGAGAAACCGTTAATAATCGAGTTTAACCATATTGGGTATGAGGTAGTTATCCACTTAAGACAATGGAAGATGGTTGCTTAATGACAGGGACTGATTAACGTTAGAGATTAACTCTGCTGGATCCCGGCTCAGTGGTCTAGATAGAGCCTAAGCGTTCGCGCGTGACCAGAGGTCCACGGTAGTGGGCACGCACCGACGAAGAGTCTCGAATTAAAACGAGACGCCAGTCCTGTGCATCTATGTTTTTGATGATGGTCTAACTTAGACTGGTTTATGATCTTAATGATATTCAACAATCTCCACAACCCCATAGTAACTATAAATATTTGCATTCAAACGTCGCTTATAATTCTTGATTATTTATTGTTTGTTTTATCAGTCTTCACTGATGAGAAATCCTCCGATATTATGGTATAAATTATATACACTAATGATTGATATTATTTTTAAGCAGCCTATGGGAAACCGAGAAATAAAGATTCGTGTTGTTCGCTACCGTCGAAGCCATTGATTTAGTCAGATTCTGTGAATGACTCGTTAGATAAATATAATTGGATCTGTACAGCTTCGGCTAATTATAGATATAATTAATTTTTAATATAACACAGCTCAGTAATTCACTGAAGATTTCTGTACTCAAGTCCCAGCCGCCTTTTCATGTGACGGCTACTGATACTATCCAGTAGTATTAACCGCAGTAGATGAACCCGGTTTTGAATCTGCTACCTCGCGGTTGAAAATCAAACGTTTCGACCAACAAACTAGCCTTCAAGTAGTGCAAAAAACCTATATACATTCAACTTTTTATTGCTCAACATTTATACAAGATAAGCAGTGAGATAGTTAAAATAGAAAAATGCGCATAGAGAAGAGAGGAAAATAGGTGCAGTAAAAATTATTTAAAAATAATTAAACTTATAAAACTTACACTCATATGTATGTGCATTTCTGTGACTTCCAAGTCAACACATGAAGAGGAACTTAAACCAGGCAATTTAACATTGATTTTTAAACGATCCGGTGGACGTAAAGGATTCACATCATTAGAATATCGACAGTTACTTAGGTCAAAATCTGAACTGTATGTTATAGAATAATCAGGTTTAGTAGGTGTACTTATTTTATCCGATTTGACAGTCTCTAGAATTAGAACAGAAACAACATAGTAAATATACACTACACCACAAAATGTAACTTGTTCACGTTCATAGATAGTTTGTGGCAGTTTATGCTTATTAAATTTCTGGAACTTCAGTGCTGATTTTCAGTTCATATTTAATAATGATGCAAATATGTTTTTATCTAGGGGCGGCTAAACCAACGTGGCATCAGTCGGTGAAGTCACTGACTGTTGGTATGATCCATATTGATAAATGAAGACTATTTGGTTAGGGTTCATGTGATGATCGCGATCAGTGATTTGAAGACTCTGGATAACATTACTCAAAATTGTCTGCAATGGCGCAGACGCATTCACTCTTCATTTTCCTCTCGATCTTGAATTACATTGTCTCTTCATAAATGTCTTTCCAATCTATCTTCTCAACACATATTCCCAAGGTTTAATCTTTCTCTTTAGTATTGCTACAAAATTATTTTGGTACGTTCTGTTATTTTCATATAGCCATACTAATTGGGTACATAAACTTGGGGCAAAGCAGATCTGTGCCAAACCCTATGTTGATAATATCTATCGGTTTAATATGAAGAAATCAGCCCCTTAACCTTTAACCTGTGTAGTTAGTTAATGGAAGTTTTTAGTTACTGAATCTTCGACCTAGTGGGAAGGAACTTTGTAAATATCAGAATATGGTAAATTACTTTAATCTCAAGTTAGACATTCAAGATTATTGAAACTCGGCGACCAAGAGTAAAGGTCAATGGATATAAGACTATTAGAATTATTATATTTTGAACCGCAAATATTTGAAATATCATATCAGAGATGTTGGTTAGCAAAACTGGTTATGACAAGATATACGATGAGTTATTTGTTGTAAATTTCTTTAGATCATTTTGCTTTGCATCTTCTTAGCACCTTTTGAAACGATAAACACTTTTTTATGAATAAAACTAACCTCAGACAAGATATTTTTCAATTGGGGAGACATCATTAACATTTTGCCATTAGCTGCTGTTATGAACAATCAGTGAAAGACCCCGGGTTCGAGTCCCATGTGTGCAATCGTGGATGCGCACTGCTGAGGAACCCCGTATTAGTGCTTCCTGGTTTTCAATAGTGGTCTAGCATAGATCAATGAGTGATTTCAACTGTGAAAATACTACAATCTTCACAAATCCCAATACTAATTTGAATTTTAATCGTAAATGATTGACTCATGAAGACTCATACTGATTGATTCTGAGTACTACAAAGTAAAAACGTGACGTAAACCCTAAGGCTGAACAGAACACTTTAAGCAACGGTGCAACTTACTTCTGACTATTCCTTCAAGTTACCCATCATCTAATTATACTTTTGAAAAACACGTCACAAATCGTAGCAAAGTATTGAAAATGAAAACAAAATTCAGTGTTATTAGGCATCAATTCGCGATAGATTGATAGTATATATCTTTAAAAGTTAACAGAAATTGCGATTCAAACTTCTGTGTAAGCTAGCATGTTGATATTAGAAAGAACCTTCTAAACTTTAAGAGTGATAGTTATCAAGTGTATATTCCGAAAGGTAGCTTATTCTTTATCTCACTTTTTTGAGGACTACTCTAATAAGTATATCACTGATTAGTGCAATAAACACTATAGCTCGTTTTGGTGACTAATACAACGAATTGAAGTCTGAAAACATTTAATAACGACGTAAGATGCTACTTCATAGCTGATCAGCCTAGGTTGGCTATAGAAAGTAAATTATATGAGTACGTCGACCACTTTAATAATCCTGAAAGCCAGTCATAACGTAAAAACTAGTAATTACATACATCGGTTCAAGATGCCATACTCCATTAGAAAAGAGAGATGAAATCGTCAGGCCAAATCCCAGAATGTTAATAAGACTATCAATGGTTATATAAAAGACTAGGCATCAAAAATACGATTCGAGAAAAATTAAACCACCTCAGTTGGTAAATATTTACTGCCTTAACAATCGATTTTCCATCAGTACCTAATACTCTATCCCTAGCCCATGCATTGTTCATTCCGTGGTCCCAAAATACACGAGCAGTGCTTCGTATACACCTGTGACCAAATACCAGTAACCCATGAATATCGTTTATTCTTAATGACTGTTTCACACCCGTAAAGTAAAATGGAACGAACTGGTGAGCAGTAAACTCACCCTTTGGTCGGCAGACTGACATTTCGCTTACGCCACAAGTGACACAAGCTGACAAAAGCTAACAGAACCTTTTGAATCCATTCAGAAATTTCGTCAGGCACCAGACCATCAGTACTGATGAGAATTCCAAGCTACGTGAAGTGGTCGATGCGTTCAACAACTTCACTTTTGGTGGAGTTTTGTTCTCTGAGCTGGATGGTTTGGTCGTGGAGCTTTCATCGTTCTTCTGAACGACATCATCAGCACAAACTTCAAATAGAAGTGAAGTGTTCGAATTTCTCCATATGTGTTTCACAGCTTGTTCTGTGCACCTCGATGTTGATTGGTTCTTGTTGACCTTAAATTTATCATTGTTTACTTCTTTGTTTTGGTTGTGTCTCCCATTGGTTTGATTTTCGTTCCTATATTTATGCATGATTTTTCTGATTGGTTGATAAATTGGATTGATTTCAATATGTTTGTTGATTGCTGATTGACCTGAGTGCCAGGCTTCTAAAAATTCTCTGGTATTTTTGGAGTTTCCTCTGTCTAAGATTTCTACATTTTCCCAATCGAATGAGTGTCCGTAGTTATCCACGTGTATTGATATAAGTGAAGAGATATCATGGCGTTTGACTGCTAATTGATGTTCATGTAAGCGTAGATGGAGGGGGCGTCCGCTTTGCCCGATGTAGTGTTTGTCGCAGTTGGTACAATTTATTTTGTAGATGATGTTTGATTTGTTTTCCTTTGTTATTTCATCCTTTGGTTTGCATAGGATTGATTGTAGTGATTTTGTTGGTTTGTGTGCCACACATATCCCGAAGTTTTTCAGCAGTCTCGTTGCGGTTTCTGATATTCCTTTTATGTACGGTAGGGTGATCCTTTTGTTGATTTTTGTGCTTGACTTGGGTTCTGATGCTGTGTGCCGTTGGTGCTTTTTGATGAAGTTGATTGGGTAGCAAAAAGAATGAACTGGAAAACACATACAAACTGATCAACAACGTTTTCAATGACATCAAATTCACAATGGAACAAGAGTCAAACAACCAACTAGCATTCTTGGATATATTGATCACTAGAACTGACTCAGGAAAACTGGAAACTCAAGTATATAGGAAACCGACCCATACAGATCAAATTCTCAACTACAACAGCAACAACCCAAGAGCTCACAAAATCAACTGCGTACACACATTGTTCAAGAGGGCGAGGACACACTGCAGCACATTGGCAGCACGAAAAAATGAAGAGAAACATCTGAAGGACATATTTCAAAAGAACGGCTACCCAATCAACTTCATCAAAAAGCACCAACGGCACACAGCATCAGAACCCAAGTCAAGCACAAAAATCAACAAAAGGATCACCCTACCGTACATAAAAGGAATATCAGAAACCGCAACGAGACTGCTGAAAAACTTCGGGATATGTGTGGCACACAAACCAACAAAATCACTACAATCAATCCTATGCAAACCAAAGGATGAAATAACAAAGGAAAACAAATCAAACATCATCTACAAAATAAATTGTACCAACTGCGACAAACACTACATCGGGCAAAGCGGACGCCCCCTCCATCTACGCTTACATGAACATCAATTAGCAGTCAAACGCCATGATATCTCTTCACTTATATCAATACACGTGGATAACTACGGACACTCATTCGATTGGGAAAATGTAGAAATCTTAGACAGAGGAAACTCCAAAAATACCAGAGAATTTTTAGAAGCCTGGCACTCAGGTCAATCAGCAATCAACAAACATATTGAAATCAATCCAATTTATCAACCAATCAGAAAAATCATGCATAAATATAGGAACGAAAATCAAACCAATGGGAGACACAACCAAAACAAAGAAGTAAACAATGATAAATTTAAGGTCAACAAGAACCAATCAACATCGAGGTGCACAGAACAAGCTGTGAAACACATATGGAGAAATTCGAACACTTCACTTCTATTTGAAGTTTGTGCTGATGATGTCGTTCAGAAGAACGATGAAAGCTCCACGACCAAACCATCCAGCTCAGAGAACAAAACTCCACCAAAATCATCCACCTGAGCTACAAATCTTCTCCACCATCTCAACAACTTCACTCCCTATCACTAATCGAGACAATGACCCAAACCAATCATGAAGTAACATTTTAAATTTGGGGGAGACAACCACATCTCAAACATGCTTGGATTTTTCTTTAAGGTGGTCAGAAGACTGAATTTTTCAGTGTATTCATGAAACAGAACCATATCATTTGCATATTCTAAGTCAAGTGAATCACCTGGTCGAAGATCAATTGAAAAGTCAGACGATGAGTGTTATCTTTAAAAGCATGTCCATATCAAAGTTAAATAAAAATGGAGAAAGTGCACAAACCCGATGAACACCACTTGAAGGAACAAATTCCGATGACAGTTCACCATAAGTTCTGACTCGACCAGTAGTGTTCAAATGGAGAGCCTACGCAAGGTTAATGCACTTTTTTGGTATACCTCTTAATGAGACACTACCACAGAATTTCACGACCATCAGTGTTCGACTCCGTTGACTGTGAAAGTCCCATCATCATTGTAAAGATTCCAGAACGAGTACAAGAAAGCCCACTCGACCTCTTAGGATGGAGTTTGATATAGTTCTAGTTTACGATTTAAAAACTTCGCTGGCACAGCTATAAATTAGTGATAATGACGCAGATACGTTAAATAGTAATCTATTTTTAAGTACGGGGATTAATACTACTCTATACCACTCACCAATGGATAAGATCTGTCAATGCACCACGCTACCTGGCATATCATAAACTGAAAGGACTTAGGCCATACGGTATACATATTTGTACATATTATATCACGTTCTACTAATTCAGGCGCTCGGTTCTTAATCACTGATGTATTCTTCAGTGTGTAGTCAAAGAACAATTTACTAAAGAAGGGACTAGAGATTTGAACGAATAAAAAGTGAACCTTCAACAACAAGGCTTTTAAAGTTTAAGAACTTACCCTCGTTCTTGCTGGCCCCGTCAGACAAACCCTCAGGATTACCACAATTACGAAAAGAGGATAACATCTTGATTGCTTGCTTTTGTTCTGCAGAACAACACAACTTTAAATCTTCAGCTTCCCGTTTTTTTATCTCAGCTTGGCGTTGTTCGTAATCTGAACGGCGACGCCTGATTACTGTCGGTCTAGAAACGCCTTTGTAGGGCACACCTTTCAAGAGATGTACAGCCTTGAGTAAACAGTCCTCACCAACGGAATCAGTAGGAGATGGCCTATTTAGAGAATGCTTTGATTCCCTATTTTTTCTGCAACTGAATAACTGTTGTGCTTGTGAGAATGTTTTTCCAAGGCACAAATTATATTGCTTCTGTACACTATCAACTGCTGTTGTATCTAACATTCTTCTCAAAGCAATAGATGACTTAGCTAGCTCGAACGCTTTTGGATTGAATGCCACATCATAAACCTAGTTATAGTGAACGTAAAAATCACGAAAGTTATAAGTGGTGTCGAATATTGTTCTTTTTAAGAAAGCTAAATACTATGTAAACGAACTTACCATTGCATGCTTTTTCGCCTTGTCAATATCTTCACGAGGTGGAGTGAAGCAATGAGGAAGACTCCAATAAACACCACTCTCTCCTTGTCTAGAAGAATCGTTTTTCACTGGTTTAATTTCTGGACATTCCACTTTGTCAGATTTGCAGACATTTATGAAAACCTTCACACTTTCTTGGGTCGATTCATCTTTTGCATTTAAAGTGATTCCACTTTCGAGATACTGAGGAACACCTGGCCAATGACGCGTTTTTAAACAGTGTCCTGGAGTAGGATTGACAAATACTACATCCATCCCTTGCTCTAATTCCATCATCCGTATCTCGTCTTCATATCTAGAAGGTTCAAAATGAAGAGAGGATTAGTCGAGTATCGTTAAAAACACAATTTTAATTGTCGGTTACTTTAAAGCACGTGTTGATTAAATTGAATAAACTACTCGATTCTATTTATTAAGATTACCACTATGTGACAAGAAGTATACCACTACTGAGGGCTATATGGTATTCAGATACAGGAAAAACCAGAAGTTACACATTCCTTTCTGATTGATGAAAAAGTTGTTTGCTAACATCACTTGGAATGCAGTAAGAAACACTTCGAGAATAACCACGTACATTCGACGTGAGGAAACCTCCAATACTTAGTAAATAGGCTGCATAAGTTCATTCCAGAATAACACTGCGATCGACATTTTCTAAGATATGAGATCGAGTTTGCGTGTCAAATGAACCCACTGCTGATATGACTTAATCCGAGGAGCTGACTAATAAAATATTCTACCGAAAATATCCGAGATCGGTGATTGCTCATATGTTAGAAAGAAAGTATATATCAAATAAGATTGAGACTGATGACAAAGAACGCCGAGCACAACTCATAAGACTGATCAGCACAGCTGGAATATTTACTCAGGGGTAGTAAACTCAGGAGGACTACATATGCACTGCAACAACAATCTTTCAGTCTTCAGTCTCTCTTCAGTCTTCAGTAATAAGGGTAGGAGGTCTGTCGACCTATATTAATCCTTGCAGTTTGTGATACAGTGGAGGTCCAATCTCGTTTTGAATATATTAACAGATGGTGCTGATATTACGTGTTCCGGTAGAGAATTCCAGTAATTCACTACTCGGTGCGAGAAACGAAACTCCAGACGTAGACGGTTTGATCTCGGTTTTTGAACTTTCTTCGAATGTCCTCTCAAATGATTGGTTCTAGACGGGAGCAAAAGATAAGACATGTTAATACCAAGGTCATCGTTCAGTATACGATAGGCCAATATTAGATCACCCTTATTCAATATAAGTAAAATATCCCTATGCTAAAAACAAAACCAACAAATAGACAAACCATAACATGCTTGTATCAAATGCTCGTAAATACGAAATGTTAGTAGGGATTAGCAATGACAAACTGGACTATTATTTTCGCCCTAAACATAAAAATATGACCTGGAAATCATGTAAATTTCTAATCTCCCCTTATTTATGTTCTTCATTCAATAAAGCCTTTCCTGCTATTTGGTTCCTCTTGAGGAAATTTAGCAGCTCAATAAATTCATAACGAGGGATCAATCGTATCAAGCACATACGACGACCTGTCACGTCGGTAATTTTAACAATCAATTGAGGCGAATTAAGAGAATAGCAATAAATAGTTGAAAATAAGCGATCTCTTGGTGACAGTGTCAGCCATCAATTACTTATAAGTAATTGATGGCTGACACTGTCACCAAGAAAAAGTATGCTTTTGAACTATACTTATAAGTATAGTTCAAAAGCATACTTTTTCTTGTTAGCAGGATCCGATATTTCTTCCGCATATTCTCTGAACAGTTTCTGAAATTCGGGGTCTTTAAATGCTTTTTTTAGCTTAGTAATCTCATCTGATGTCAGATTTAGATCCCCAGAGTCGCACATCAGCAACTACGCGCGAACAGAAAAATGCTGTATAGCCTTGACAACAAACTTTCTATTGTATAATAAAACAATTTCTTGAAGAAAAAATATTTCAAGAAATTATTTTCTTAAAGATGAATAACCTATCGAATTCAATAGGCATGAGATCTGGATGTCTCTTTTGTTGACTGCGTTTTGGAACAAGCATCGTTCCCACTTAACTTAATTCGATTCAAATGGTTCAAATGCTTCAAATGGTTGTGGACAGAATAGGATAAACTTTCGTCTAACAGGCTTCCGTGTCTAGTAGCAGGGGATCACCAAATCCTCCAGTCAAGAACCTATGTATGTTAACAATAAAACAGGAAAAGAAATTGATAAATCAAAGTGCGATACTATCCTTAGTCCTTAAATTCAAATGGTTCAAATTGCCTCTTAAAGGACTCCTGGGAAGTCGCCTGAACTAGCTTGCTTGGCAGCGAATTCCAGAATTTGACAACTCTTAAGGAGTAGAAGTTGTGTCCACAGTCCGTTCTGCTTTGTTGTGCCTCCAAATTCTGGGTGTTACCTCTTAGCTTAGAATTGGGACTAAGTTAAGTAGGTGTTTAAGAAGATGACCAGAAGTGTTAAGGATATTGTAAGCCATCAGATGATCACCTCTATGACGCCTATACTCTAATGGGTAAAGGTTAAGTGATTGGAGGCGCTCTTAATAAGGTTTAAATTTGAGTCCTTGGACTGACTTCATGGCTCATCGTTGAAAACGCTCCAGAGTGTCCTTATTCTTTTGGAGTGAGGGAGGAAATATTATGCCGACTACTTTACACTTTGAAGTGTTAAAGGTTATTCCGTTATCGTCTGCCAAACTTTGAAGTCGAGTCCGATCATCCTGAAGTGCCCGTATATCGTCTTGGTTGCTTATCTCTCTCCAAAGTTTCACGTCATCGGCAAAAAGTAATAAGTCTGACGTAACCTGTTGAGGAAGATCACTCATATAGATCAAGAAGAGAAGAAGTTCTAGTATTGAGCCCTGGGGGACCCCACTAGGACATTTCATAGCCTGAGATAAAGTGAAGTTAACACTTACCTTAAAATGTCGATTTTTAAAGTATGAAGAGAGCCAATCAATTAGAGGTGGTCAGATACCCAATCTTTTGAGCTTATTGATAAGACATATATGGTTAACCTTATCAAAAGCTTTCGGGAAATCATGGTAAATGATATCAACCTTCCTCTTGCGATCGAGGATGCATGTCCATCTGTCCACTACAGTCAGCAGGTTGGTAATACAAGAGTAATCCTTCCTGAAACCGTGCTGTTGGGGTGAGAGGAAATTTAAGGACAGTAAATAGTCGTTTATACCATCGCATATCAGAGACTCCATGATTTTTGAAGGTATAGAGAGAAGAGCCACCGGTCGGTAACTTGAAGGTTCGCTGCGTCGACCTCCTTTTAAAATTGGTGTGATGTGAGCCAGCTTCCAATTTTCTGGTACTTTTCCTTGAGTGTGAGAACATCATGCTAAGCGGCATTGCCAAGATTGAGGCTCCTTCCCTCAGTATGCCAGAATGGACCATGTCCGGGCCAGGATAAGTGTCTAATCTTAAGTGCTGCAGTTTCCGGAACACTAAGTCAGCGCTTAGGTTCACTTCGGAAAGTCCTGTTGAATTGCAAACGAAACTGTCATCAGTTAAGTTAATGACGGTCGGTTGAAATGTCTGGGAGTATTGTTCAGCCAGAAGGTTAGCGCCGTCGCCGTCGTTATTGGTTGGGCCGTTAAGACCTAGCAGTTGGGAAACTCCAGTTTTGGCTTGACGAAGAGAGGCTGCATAACGGAATCAGCTTTTAAGATTAGAGACAAGTTTGTCCATAAGCTTTGTCTGGTACTGAAGCCTATCTTCTCTTATAGCCTTCGTGCATATGTTCCTGATACGTTTATATTGCCTGTACGCTCCGTCGCTGTCAGTTCGTTTGTATTCCACCCAACAGTGCCTTTTGCGGCTGAGCAGGCGAACGGTACGGTTCTTGATTATTGTAGGTGGCTTGCAGCTTTTGGGAACCGTTTGAGGAACTGAATGCTTTGTAGCACGTAAGAGAAAGTGCAGTAAGATGTTCCAATGCCCACCCACATCGAGTTGGGGGTGAACATCTCAAACCACCACCGTGTGACTGTCAAAGGTTCTATTCTTGGAAGTCCAAGTCTCTTGTTCAATTTTCCTCAGAGCATCCTATCATTTTTGTCCTGCAAACTGAGAGGAAGGTCTGGGTTGTCTTTGAAGTTCACAACTATGAGAGAGTCGTCACGAACCGTTATTGTTGTCCCAGGTTTTTTGCTGCTTTCACGTTTAGCACCTTGCTGTTTGGATGTCGAAGCACGTTTATGAATCCTTGGCTCTTTGATGATCGGACGGACAATCTTGGGAGTAGACTCTGCGACCAGATCATCAGTTGACTTCCATTCAACAGCTGTGATGTTCAACTGAATTTGATGTGGAAATAACTAACTCAGAACTGATTTGCGAACAGTTTTTGCTACAAGTCAATTTTTCAAAATGTCATTTAATTTGTGCTATTATTGTTATCTACTATAGAAGTTGATTGCTTGTATCTGTGTGTATATATATATTGCTGTTTTAACTTTTCTTGTTTTATCCTCATTGTAGTGGTTGTGATAATCATCCAAAGTCATCGATACGCTCATCCATTGTGCATCTTCCCTGTTGAAGACATCATTCAGCGTGACGACTGCAAGAGATAGGTTCAAAACATGTGTACCGACTTATAGCCGGCCATTCATATATGTTGTCGTAAACCGACATTACAACTGTTATGTTGCTTTTGTTGCTTTACCGAATCGACTCAACTATATTAAGTCTTGAAGTTTCTCACCAGGATGGGGTTATCGGGTGAATATGCTCGCAAAGTAGGGGTTATATCAGAAGAAGAGGAAACAACAGTGATATCCAATGACGTTAGCTCAAATCTTACCTTAAATCAATACACTAGGACTCCAATCATCGATATCCACAGATTGTGAATAAACATTGTCCAAATCATTAGTACACGTAGCCATAATCATTCCCGTCAACGTCGGAAAAAAGAAGCCACTGCACTTTGAAAGTGCACCTATTCTAAACACGGATGATGAAACGAATGTAATTATACAATGTTCGGAAAGCGAAACTATCTCACAAGGAAATTCGGATGTTATAAATCAATAGATCCGCCCGAAAGTCAGAACCAGAAAGACAACTATATAAAATGATAACACGAACGAAAGCAATGAGCGCGATTATGAACTGAATCAGATCCGTTTCTAGTTTACTTATTTTGAATGTGTAGAATTCAAAAGAAAATGACCCTGCTAAAAGGCATGCACACGACCTCGAGATAGTAGAATCTGCCGTCAGAAATGTACTACCAGGAGATATTTCAGAGGTACATGCCACTACAGAGATAGAACTTGGTGAGTGGGTTGGAGGTAAGATTCAACCAAAAATGATTTCAAAGTTAGCTCGCGGGAGTTTCGAAGATACACCATACTATATAACGTATACAAAACTCGTAATTTGAATATTTGTATTCAGCCAAATTGGTTACTTGAGAATCGGATCAAGTGATAGAATGTCCTTACTAAGTTAAAAACTTGAAAACTAACTAGTAAAACAAACTTTAAGATTCAGGGTTTCCCGGTAGTCATATCTTGGGAGCCAATGATTCTGAGACCTGTATGGGTAGAACGAGTGATTGTCCAGACACCTTAAATGTGTGCTACAAGAACATTCGCAGTCTTAGAAATGAAACTTCCTAACTAGATTTGACGGTGGATGAATTAAGTCTTGATATAATTGTTGTCACAAAATCGTGACTCATAAAAGATGTAGACAGCTCTTCAGTCAGTCAGTCAGCTACAACGTAGGACCAGGCACATATATCCATAGGTCCAAGTTGCCATACCTCATTAACACAACAATATGAACACCAGATTCATAAAAGTAGTTAATTCAGAAGTGGTAATATATAAAAAATTGCAATAAGGATATAGTACACTAAGAAAGAATTAGTTCATAGAAAGAAAGATATGAAGTGATTTTAATCTCTTAGTTTAAGGAAAGACAGAGAGTGTATACACCGACGCCATTGTGATAGATTGTGAGCCATGTCACAGAGAGTCTCCAACCATTGGTAACGATAGTCAGGCGGATCCCAACCAAGTAGTCTGCATCTACCAACATAGCTCAGACTAGCAGTTAGTGACTTCAAGCACTGATGCGACGTTTTGGTTTGGCCACCCCTAATTCTCTTCCAACCATCCCCTACACCGGTTAGCATTGCACGTCGTGGTAATCGGTGTTCAGGCATACGTAACACGTGGCTCAACCATCTCAGTCGATGAAGATTCATAACCTCATCAACTGATTTACCATCACTCCCTAATACCCTGCGTCTAATCTCACTATTACTTACCCGGTGATCCCAGCAGACGCCAGCAATATTTCTAAGACATTTGTGGTCAAATACTACTAGCTTACTGGTGTCTTCTACTCTTTATGGACATGTTTCGCTGCCGTAAATTAAAACAGAACGGACTGCAGTATACTAGTCCTTTTACTGATAGACGGATATCTCGCCTTCGCCAAAGGTGACAGCTCTCCAACGATTGCGGTATACACCTGTATTAAAAGCAATCAAGTTATTAATGGTAAGGGAAGAGGCATAAGGTTAAATGGTAAAGATAACTTCCGTGTACAATGGGGACACCAGAGGCGCATTTTAATGGTTGATATGAGGGAGCTTGTTGTACAGTTAAGTCTAAACACGGATTAATGACTATTGTTGGAATATGTCGACTTTATCTTAATTCATATATTTGCTTCAAATAAGGCTGACTGTGGTCCCATCATTGGTGACTTCAACGCACCACACATCAATTGGATAGAGCTAATTACACAAGGTAGATATTTTGACGGTAGCCTGTTGTCAACCATTATTCGGTGTTCACTTGTACAATGTGTCGCAAAGCCGACACACGTAGACTTGGAACATGAATCGTG